ACGTTTCAATAGTAATTAAAATAGTTAGATAAAGCTGCACACTACCAAATTAATAGGAAATAAATTTGAAAATGAAATTAAAATCTCTATTTGATATTGACATTTGATGTTTGAAAGTGGTGCAGCTTTTGACTCTAAAGTGATATGTAGGTGAGTGTGTAAAAGAAGTCTCAGCAATAATGAGATGGATCCTTTGAACAACAAACACAAAACCCTTAGATCTCACTCCCTCATCTCATAATAATATAATTTGGAGGAGATATGCATAGCTCATGTCCCATGTAAAGGCATAGTAAACCAATGGAAGATGAAAATTTATAGTACTCCACATTGTCTGATTTGACTTCCAAGTAATCCTTGGAAACTCCAATTAATTTGCTGGATTCTTCCACTACACCACCTTCCAATTACAATTCAAAGAGCTCCTTCCATTGGACATTATATTATATATGAGAAGACTAGGTAGAGAGATACTTCAAACTTGTCATCAAGTAATGTATCTCTTGTTTTTCTTGTACGTGAAGTCCTCAACCAATGGTATGACCCACCACATATAAATATGTATATATATATAATGTGATGTCTGGGCATTAGTTTTGTCACCATTGGCTGAACCCTTCCTCAAGGGACATGTCTCACACAGAATAAAACCATTTCTTTGGGTTTTCTTTGATCCATTGGGTGATGATGTATGCTTAGCTTTAGGGCTTCGAGGACGCTTTACCTGTGCCATTCTTTTTATCTGAAAGCTTTTGGATATTATAAGGTGACCAGTGGCCAGCTTACACTGAACGACAATGACAAAACTCTGCTGATAAGTTGTGACAAGACTGACATCAAATGGCTCACGCCGTGTTCTTGCTGAAAGCTGCATTGCTGTCTAATAAACATGACACCATCTCGGTCGGCGGTGCCGCCAACATCGCTCACTGCTCTCTGCATTCTGCTGCCCTACCACTAATCTGGAGTTGATGATTCGGTAATATATGAACACATTAATTAGTTGATATGAAAACAGTGCAGGTTAATTATATATTATCCTTATAAGTAACTATCCTTAATATTTTTATTCTTATATTTTTACAAATTATATTAATATTCGTACTTAGTAATTTCGAGATAGAGTCGATACGTGCTCAATGGAAAACCCTGTAGTATTTTCGTCAACAAAATCGACGACTTGAGTAGAAACGAGATTAAATTTATCACTATATGAATCATAATATAACTTTTAAAAATATGAGAATTGGATGTTAAAAATAGTTAATTATATAGGATAATATATAATTAGTCGAAATGATGTTAGCTTTATTATAGAATTTAGTCTCGCATCAAATTGAATTATTTATTATTATTAATTTAAATTTAAATATTTTTAGTAAATGATTCATGATATGGAGATAGAGCCGAAGATACTTACTGTGAGGCTACAACGTTGGATCTCATGAACATCATCCTATCTAATATAATTAAAACTATGTTGCTACTACAAGATAGAGAAAATGATAGTTACGGGTGAGAACAAGCTTTTGCTCGTGGCATTATGATCATGTTTGGGATGGAAATCAATTGTTTTAGAGACTGAAATTATTGGCTTTAACCTCATAATAAAGCTGAAATATAAAATTAGATGAGGATAAGTATGACTATAACTTCATAATCATTCCCTATCATAAACTTTGTTGACTAATAGTTGTCCCAAAAGCAAAGAAATGGTCAACCTCTATGTCAAGAAATGTATATCATTTTAAATATGAAAGAACTAACTTTTCGTTTGGTCAATCTATCTTTTTGATTTTTCTAATAACTATTATTTAAGGATGATTGTGACATTTGACCATAATTTTGATGACACTTAAGGATATTTGGGAGGAAATGCTACTCTAGTTAAGTCAAATCGCCATCTCAAGCATAATGCAATTAATACTTAGGGTTGCACATATTTGTGTTATTTACTAATAGATAGATGCTAATAAGAAAGAGTTTTTTTTTTACGTGTTAGTCAAAATATTCAGCATATTTCACCCAAAATCTAATATTTAATCATATATTAAGTTTGGGATATTTTGTTAAGCACAATTAAAGTCGTTATTGCTAACTAATCATTCAAATCATATTGGGTAAGAAGAAGTAACATTAACACTTTGATTATCTTTTTATGTTACTATGATAAAGATAAAGTTAGAAACATAACGCTCAGAATCCAATAATATACTAACTAAATCAAATGTCTCAACAAAGATAAATTCAATACATACATATATATATATATATATAGAGAGAGAGAGAGAGAGAGAGAGAGAGAGAGAGAGAGAGAGAGAGAGAAAACTTGGGGTATGTACTTCGGTGAGAATAACAAGTTAACGGAGGGACAAGTGGCGGGCCTTCGGTGCTCTTCGCCATCATTCCCCAAGGTTTGAGGCCTCTCTAGCTTCGTAGGCTTTGAGTGTAAGAGCATGGTCAAACATACATTGTATTGTTTACATTATGGGAATGCCATCCCATGGCGAAGAAAGAACAAAATAATTGATGATTCATTAGAGTGGGATTTGTTCTTGATAGGAGGATTATGGTTTCCTTCTAGGGAAGCCATCATAACATATGTTATGCTTTACTAGTCTTTAATTTCAAGAGACATAATATTTGTTATACTTTAATATCATGCAATAAGATTATTGTTGATAACCACTCTTTTGGCCTTAGTTTCCTATCTTGATGTTGGTCTTTTGTTCATGGAGATGTTGTTAAGATAATTCTCTTGATTTAATGTAACAAAATCATAAGTTTTAGGCTAATGGGACTTACATATATATATATTTACCCCTTGAAAACAATTAGAACACCACAATTCTCTTTTCTTTCTTGCTTTTATTACACTTCAAGCAAAACAAAAGGTTACCATGAAAAGTTTGTGGGTGAGCCAAAAAGAGCATGATATAATAACACATATGAAATATATAGAGCTACATGAAAAGTTGACTGTTGTAGGGTTAAGGGGGCATATTCAACATTGAGCACGTTAGTGTCTTCTTCGTGCGAGTCAAATGATGCCCTCATGACAAATCTTAATGGGCAACCTATGTTTTATAGGTAGCAAACCTTGAGGGTTATATTTCCACAATATGCAAGTCATTAAAGATTTAATAGATACCGGTTAATTAAATTTCTACAATCTCTTTAAATCCTTGCTACTCTTAAATATCAATTATTTAAATTTTCAGTTCTTGATCTAATTTTGTTATGATTGATAAGTATTTTTGAGATTTATAGAGCTAATATCGTTGGAGGACAAGGAAGCCTAGTATGAAAAGCATTCTCGAAAGAAAAAAAAATTCTCGAAATTATAGTTTGGTTCTTCTATAGATATCTCATGTATATTTAGATCTTGGGTTGGGGGGGCGGGGGCGGGAGGAGGAAGAACAAGATGTGAGGGATACTTTCGATGTTCTAGAATTTCTCTCTAGAGAAGATGCTATCTAGTATTTCTAAAAAGCGTGAGAAAAATATGTAAATTCTTTAAGATTTATGAGAGAATATGCAATAAGAGTCATGCTTGAGAGGGGATAATATACGGGTATTGTAATTGATCTCACAGAAGAATTTGATCTAATCGGCTCTTTGATATGTTCTTAGATGATTGATCTCTTGGTTTTCTTTTCATTTTTGAAAATCTCTCTTCCTCCCTAACAACTTTCAAATTTAAGCTCGACAATTTGTCACTGTTTCCTCAAATAATCTCACCTTAAATTTAGACTAGACTCAATTCCTACCTCCAAGCTCACAAAATAATCTCCTCACTTTATTAATTATATTATATATTATATATATGTATTAATCAAGGGACATCAATTTTATCATAAATAGGTTGAATTGGTTCTTACCATATTTGTATAAAAAAAATGAACCGTGATTAAGTAGAATAGAAAGCTTTGATCAGTATATTTTAATCTTTATTAGAAAGGATGAATACAGGACACAAAACTTCATTTGGTATATAATCAATATATGTAAACTTACCTCTGTAGTCATAAGATCAATGCTACTAATCTTTAGTCTTCTATAATAATAATAATAATAATAATAATAATAATAAAATAATTTACCTACCGATGGAATTGACTTGGTTGAGGCTATTCTCAACCAGACCGATCTTAGCATTGACTACGAATCAAGACAAAGAAAGTTTGACCCCATTAAGATCCATGGATGAGTAAAATGTGGATTCACCAAAGAGAAAAAGGTGAATTAATTATCATAACAGGTGACAAAGTGTTCCCCATTGTTAATGTGTATGCACAACACTGACAAAGCTCTCATTCGTTGTCAAAATGGTTAATCATGCTTTGCTTTGAGCATTCATTTCTTCTACCACCGAGTAAAGCTAGGCATTATCAGATTAGTACAGCCAATGAGGGGGAGAAGCCAAAACATGAGGTGCACAACGTGAACCAACCAAGCTATACAGAGGTGTGCACCATGGAATTGATGGAAACTCACATCTGTTCTGCTCTCATATCGAAGCTTGTGCCCATCTCCTTGTACGGTTCCTCCCCACAACTTTACAATCTGCAGGCAATTATCTGCGTTGATGTCAAGCGATTACCACCTCGAGATGGGATGGAAATGGCACCCCAGGGGGACGGAGCGAAGAAGAGTCTTGTATGATAAGATAGCTGAAAAGTACCTGAGCCGAAGAAAGAGAGAGAGAGAGAGAGAGAGAGAGAGAGAGAGACAGATGCTGTAAAGAGGAATTAAGAGAGAAAGGCTCAAACTCAAAGGGCTGGGAAGGTGGTGAGAGAGAGAGAGAGTGACGTCAACCACTGGGGGCAGGTCCTTCATTCCATCAACCCACGCGCAATCGATAGGTAGAGGGGTCCTCGCTTTTTTATACCCTCTACCCTCTCCTTCCTCCTCTTTCTCTTCTTAACACACAGCTCCTATCCCTTTCCGCAGCGCAGTGCCTTCCAAGAGCTCCCTCTCCCTCTCTCTCTCTCTCTCTCTCTCTCTCTCTCTCTCTCCCCTCTTCATCCTTCTGATTCAGTGCAGAAGAACATCCCTCGCCGGTGGCAGCGTTCCGAAGGTGCGTTATTGTCCTCGGTGTGAATCCCTTGATACGATATATCCATCGGTGTATCATCTTTTGGATGCTTCTCCTTTTTCTCTTTCTCTTCCAGATGCCATTTTGACCTCGATCGCCTTCAGTACCACGGTCTTCTCCGTGTCAGATTGTTAAGATCGATCTGTGGTTCTGTGTCTCAAGAACACATCTTTTCCATTGCTAGGGTTTCACCTGCGTAGCTTGAGATCGTAGGTCTTTAACCTGTTAGGCTAGATGGATCATCTTGTGTTGTGTTATGTTTTGTGTGGAGCTGTTTATGTTCCTCGGCACACTATAATCAGAACTAGCAGGTAAAACACTTCCATCTTAGGGTTTCAGATGTAGCATTAAGCATCTTATCGATGGGTCTCTATCCAGTGACGATCTTCATCAGGCTAAAGCGTCTGTCAATTCAGACCTTATTATGGGATCAAGAATTGTATGAACAAGCAATTCACTTTTAAGCATGAGATTGCACTCATGTTGATAATAAACTCCTATAGTTATAGATAGATTTTGAGACTAACACATGTTCCAGATAAATGAGCTATCTGACAACAGAACAATGGAATTATGGAACTAGAAATACTGATGCCATGATGCTTCCACTGAGATCTAGGTTTTGTTCAGCTTTAGAGTTTTCCTTTTATGATTTCTATTGTCCTTGCAGCTGCTGTTGATGCCTATAATTAGTGAGGATCTCATCATGGTATCTCTCTCTAGAAACATTTAGACCTTGTTTGTCTAAGAATCAAAACTTACTACAGGAAGAAGAACTTGTATTTACAATATTAAAGCTGGTATCTTTTTCTCTAAGTAAAAATCAATGCTGATCTCTACCTTCCTACAAAGTTATATATTCACGTGGTTATCATTTCTTTTTTTGGTGATCTCTGGTACTTCAAATCTTCCTGTAGAAGCCATAGATTTGTTCTTGTGTGTGCATCATAGGCACACATAATTCTTGTCATAATTAGCTTCTCTTACTGATCCAGTCAGCGGTATGCATTATTCTTCTCTCTTCTCTGTGGTGAAATCTCCCATCGTCTGTACTTGGAAAATGAGTAGCTCTCACACCCGAAGAGACTACGCCACTGCAGAGTCCGAAAGGATGAAGGACCATCAGAGGCTTTCTTCCTCGCGATGCTGCGCTGAATTGTTGTCGACGACGGTATTCGGAGTTCGTTATGCTGCAAAGAGGCCAAAGGTCTGCCATGGAATTCCAAGACAAGGGGACAAAGGAGTCAGTCCTCGGAGAGAGAAGGTTCCTTCTCTTTTAGTCACTCCATGGCAGGCCTGACCTAAGAAAGGTCTTCCTCGCTCCCCCCCACTCCATTCTTTTTGGCTCCCAGACCAACTTTTCCTTCTTTTCCTTTTAGATCGCCCTCAGACAAGAGGCGCATGCTGTCTCTCCTCGCAAACGTCAGCCACTTGTCCCCATGCTCATGGGACCTCGAGCTGCACTCCTGTGCTTGTTACCCCGTTTTTGGCAAAGCTTATCTGCAGCAACCAAACACCATGGCATTAGTAATTATAACTCAATGCCGTCAGCAGATTAAGATAGTAGATGTGAACCTCTAGCCGCTCTTGTATTTCTCTAATCTTATATGGAGTCACAAAACATGTAATCATCCTTCTAATAAAGGAAGATGAGTTGAATGATCTTTGTATTTAGAGCCAAATGATGGAGTGGCCAATGATTTCTTATAGATTTGTCTGCATGCTTCCATCTAGTTTAGCCACTCCAATGACATTTTAGCTTACCTTTTATCTAAAACCACTGGAAACATTCTCCTTGGCTTGGCAAATCCAAGAAAAATACAAACTTAGCAAGTGTGTTAGAGGTCTTAATGATTGCTTGAATAAAAGGACAACAATTGGTACTTGTTTTCTTTTCCTTGCAGTGGTACATCTGCCTTCTACTCTTAGATGGTCCAGCTTACCACCATGTCATTTGCTAAGGAGTCCTCGCTTGTCTCTGCAACACACTTTTCCTTTTTTTACCCTTGTGTTATTATATACTGCAGCAATGATTTTTTGTGGACTAATAGAGCACATGTTCTGGACGAATGATTGCCACCATTCTCATTCGAGGAACAGCATCATGGCAGGAACAGATGTGTTGCCTATATGCATCCTATAATATATAAGAGAGAGAGAGAACGAGAGAGAGATAAATCCAGGCCTTCGCTCTCTCTCTCTCTCTCTCTCTCTCTGACTTCGAAGAGCGTCCTTTTAATAGTGTTGTCCTGGTACATGTCTTGCTGCATGTTCTTCCTCCAAGGGTCTTGAACGTAGTGGCAACGAATTTGGTGCAGACAAAGGAACCCATGGAATCGTGTGTTCCTCCTGGATTCAGGTTTCATCCGACGGATGAGGAGCTCGTTGGCTACTATCTTAAGAAGAAGGTGGCTTCTCAAAAGATAGACCTGGATGTTATCAGAGATATCGATCTCTACAGAATCGAGCCATGGGATCTCCAAGGTTAGCAGCTTTCACTGTGTTTATGTCTCGTGCTCAGCAAATAGCCTTCTTTTAATCTACTTTACATGTAGAAATTAACAGATTGCGATGTTCTGTATGTTTTCTGTGTGCTCACTGTTTGAAGAACGGTGTCGGATCGGATACGAAGAGCAGAGTGAATGGTACTTCTTCAGCCACAAGGACAAGAAGTATCCAACAGGTACAAGGACGAACAGGGCCACCATGGCCGGCTTTTGGAAGGCGACCGGGAGAGACAAGGCGGTCCACGACAAGAACAAGCTCATCGGCATGAGAAAGACCCTCGTCTTCTACAAAGGACGGGCGCCAAACGGGCAGAAGACCGATTGGATCATGCATGAGTACAGGCTCGAATCCGAGGAGAACGGAGCGCCACAGGCAAGCTGAAACATCACCCTCACTTTGTCCTCCTCCTTTATGTTCATTTAGCTCACGCAGGCAAGCTGAAACTTCATCTGTTTTCTTGAAGTCGCCAAGAAGAAACGAAAAGAAAAGAAAAGAAACGAATGGTGAAAGAATTGTCATATAGTTTCGCAAACAATGCCGAAAAGCAATCATCACTTTGTCTCTAACTTTGGCAGCATACAGAAAGCACCTAAACCTTTTCCACCGCAGGAAAGACGTTCTTTTTCCGACTCTAAAAGAACACACCTTTAAGCACAAAACAGAAAACTTTTCTTGGTCACTGTGTCTCAAAGGAATCGTCTCATCTATCGACTCAGCTGCTTGTATTCCTCTCAGCGTCGTTTCTTCTTTTGACAAGTTATTGATATGCTGCTCTGATATACGAATGAATGACACAAGTGATTTCGCATTCACAGGAAGAAGGATGGGTCGTGTGTCGCGCATTCAAGAAACGAGCCACTTGCCCTGCGAGGAGCGTGGCCGCCATTTGGAACTCCGGCTACTGCTACGATGAGCTCGACAGGATGAACTCCATGGTTAATCCGATGATGTGCCTACAGAAGCAACCCATGAGTTTGCAGTGCAAGCAAGAGACTGAATTCGAGGAGCTGCATCTCTTACACCCCTCCCAGTTCGTGCAGCTGCCCCAGCTGGAGAGCCCATCCCTGCCTCTGGTGAGTCAACCCAGCTCGAAGATGACGGTGTTGGAGAAAGAGGACGAGCAGCAACAGCAGCAAGCGGGGATGTCGAGCGGCATGGGGAGTGTGACAGACTGGAGGGCGCTCGACAAGTTCGTGGCGTCGCAGTTGAGCCACGAGGGTGGCAGTTTCGTGAGCGAACAGGTGGTCTCGGATTTTGGTGTAGATAATGACTCGGAGATGGCACTGCTGTTGCTTCAAAGCGAGAGGGAAGGCTTCAACGAGTTCATCGGCTCAGGCGAACCTGACTGCGACAAAGGCATCTGTATATTTGAGCAATGAATCTGCTGATGTATAAGGAGCAGCATAAGGTGTTTGATCCAACCCCTGCCATTTCTTCTTCTTCTTCTTCTTCTTAATATGTAAGCTTTGGATTGGCTATCGCTGAGCTTTTCTTGTATAAAGATTTAAATGAAGCTCCTTGCCTTGTTTATCTATACCTTTTGTCTGGTGCACGAAGATCTGAAGAGATATTGATAAGTATTATGAAAAATATTTACAAGAATTATGAAAATTGGACAGAGGAATAAATCATACAAACGCTAAGCCAAAAAATAATAATAATAAAGTCAAGATAAAACAATGTCAGAGTACAAAGCACGCACGCCATAAATGCAAATTCAAGGGGGGCTTTGAAGACCTCTCAGAAAAAGCAAAACGTAGAATCTCTCGTACAAGAATTGTAGTACAGCTTATGGATTTATCATCATAGCAGAAACTTTAAAGCATATGTACTCCTGTCTCGGTCTTTTTCACAAGGAAAAGAACTTACCGGTCATCGGAGTACTCTTGAAAGCCGTGGCGAATAGCCGACGCGCCATCACCCTTAATCGGCAAATACAAAGAAAGGAAATGTGATTCGTCAACCCTAACAACATGGGACATGTGATTGATTCATCGATCAATCTGAGAGTCCATCGAAACCAAGAAAAGGAAAACTAATCCATCTTACGAGCGAAATCGCCCGTCAGGACCAATTCCGCCCGCAATCTCTGCAAACAGCACCACGGAATGAGTAAGGGCCGGTGGCAATCGCCAGGGGCGACCTGATCATCGGACCGGAGGATTACCTGAAGTTCTTGGAGGACGGAGGCGTGATGGGGCCGCCGCCGCCGTCTCTCTTGGCACCTCCATCACGGACAATCTCGCACGGGGGGATGTGGGAAGCAGAGAGCGGACGAGAACGGGATGTACCGCCGGCCGGGAGGAGGGATGCGGTTAAGGGTTTGCTTTGCGTCTTTATTCGAATTGATCAAACCAAGTGGCCCGAGTCAGGATTTGATCAAACCATTCGACTCGAGCCGGATCTGATCAGGTTAATACTAATCCAGATTGATGCCGATTAAGCTAAATTCTCTGGAGGGACTATACAATTGATATAAGAATCCAACAACGTATTAGCCTCCCGGTTTGATTACCGGTAAACCTTTCGAACCGACCGAAATAAGCCTGACATATTGGACCGAAGTGGTTTGTGGTTTATTTTCTTTAAATATCAAACTAAACAAGCCAAACCCCACTATATGGCACTCATTCGACCAGTAAACCGGCCAAAAACCAAAAATTGTCGGTCCGGTTTATCAATTTAACCGGACAGTTAAGTGATCCGACCCTATTAAGTATCTATTAATAAATTTATATGGGGTATATTAATGGTTGGATTCCATAGTTCAGTTGGTTAAAACATCATTAAAAACTGCGAGAGGTTTTGAGTTCGAATCTCATTAAATGTAGTTTTGTTATATATTTTTATTTGACGTTAGTATTTCATTACCTTACGAAAATATTATAATTTTGAATTAATTGAATCAGTTGACGTCCAAATTATCATTTACCAATAATGTTTATAATTGTTTTATTTATTTCTCAAATGGCATTCAAATTATCATTTATCAATAATGTTTATAATAAATTGTGCAAAAAAAAATTCATGTTTAATTTTATTAATTATATCGTTTTAGATTTAAAATATTATTTAATCATTAATTTAATTTTTTTATTATTTGAATAGAAAGTTGATTCGAAATCTAACTGAGATTCATTTTCGTATTTCAATCTTAATCGAAATAAAAATTTATTTTACCATAAAGATGTCAAGCCTACAAAATTAACTCATAAGACATTTCCAACAATTACCCCTCCGATATTTAAATTTGAATAAGATTCGAATAATTTAAAAGGAATTATATGAATATATCTCTCGACTTAGTTTTGTATGTCCGACATCTTTAGAGTCCTAACGATAAGCATGGAAGAACCAATCTCTTCTTAAATTCCAATCAATTGTAACATCTTCCTTGTTCTTCGATGATCTGCTTTTTCGAATCCAATTCGTCAACTAAAATGCAAGATTGCTATGTGGGATGATTGAAAGAGACACACTCATTTTTGGGGTGACAGCCGCATCAAAGGAAGCGGTAATCGACTCATTTCCTTTACTAAAAGCAAGAATGTGGCGGAGAAACCATTGTTGACTGACATTGATGCCTTGACCGAAAGAATATGCTGGCCATTGGCAGCGATGATGAAGGCCATATGGGGATGGAAATGGGCATGAAGACAGGCCTCTTTTGGGGCAAGTTGGACCCCATTGTGACCGAGAAGGTTGTCATAGGTATGATAGCAAAGTGAGGGATTGCGTCGTTCTTGGTTGGATCGGAAGACCACTTTCCGTGGAATCGTCACGAGGACAACACCATGTTGTTCTATTCCTTAAATAATAATAATAATAATTATTATTATTAATTTCATATTAAAACGAATAAAACTAAGATTGATATATAAAAATATGGTGAATATGATGAATGTACTATTATTAACTATAGCTTAAATATTAACATCAGTAGTTTAGGTTAAATAAAGTCGATGAGTTAATTAATCTATGATATTTAGTATTAGAGCTGACATAATGTTTGAGCATAACGAGAAAACTCGAGTAGAAAATAACTATCCTGGTCATCACAGAATTAATATAAATTATTTATTTTATTTTATAGCACAATAAGATAATTAAATCCTTTAGCTTTTGCTGAAGTTTCAAACTAATTATCTATTTTGCCACACCTTCTTCTTTCCGCCACCTTTTGAGGAAGCAATTACAAAAATGATATTTTTGAGTATTAAGAGGAATCATCTTAGCTCGAGAATAGAAGTTCAAAAAATATTATTTGTGATTTAAGATTTAGGTCAAGTTGCTTTAGTAGAAGTTTGAGAGAAAATACAAAAGAAATTCTTTTGAGTTATAATTAACTCAACAAAACTCACTCATAATTTGATGTTGTTAAAATAGATTTTGATTCTTCCATTAGAATGTCAACTCAAAGTCAACCGAGGACCTGTTTCATGTTTGTCTCAATTTAATGTATGAAAGCGTCCAATTAATTCGATTTGAAATGGTGTTGGATTATTAAAAAATTATGTCAAGAGTATACTTGACAAAATTTTTCTGATGTTTAAATTAGTTTTAGTTGTAAGGTATAGGTTGAATATCGTATCTTTTAAGTGTTGAATATATTAAAGCTTGATAATATGATATATAGGGAATGTAATCGAGAGAAACTTTTTATAGTGAGATTTTAGGATCATTATGCTTAAGGACATGATTTAATGGGAAATTACCCATATTTATTGGCACCAAGTATTGTATTGAATTCAAAAGGCATAGTGAGGTCAAGAATGTAATTGTAATGTTTCAGAAATGACATTGTATCGATCAAATGGTGCGATCTAACAAGCCATATTATAATGAGATGTGATCGTTCAATCTTAAAGTGTTGCCATATGACAGACATTACGATGTCGAAATTCGTATATAGTGAAAATATAGATTTTTCAATGAAGATTTTTATTTAATTATTTAGTTATTAATCTCTAATATTTCTCTTTTCATTTTGAGGTTTATTTTTTCAAGACTATTTCTCGATAAAATCTCTTTTCCTACTTGGTAATTTCTCTGAAATGATGAAAAAAAAAATCATTGATGAATCCAAATTAATAAAATGAACTCTTATAGTCATACCAATCATCGTATCCATACTTCTTGGTCTGCAAATATTAAAGTCGACCACATCTAAGGAAAGATCAGACAACATTTAGATATAAGACTGTATCCAATTTAGCTTTATTATAAGGCTATATAAGGCCAATTACTTGAGATAACTCCACTTTCACGAAATGATTTATACGTGCATAGGAACCTCCATGCATTTGTTTGCAAAGAAATCATACATGGGCAGCTGATAGATATAAGAAGGTCGGATATGAGTTTTCTAACTTGATTCCTCTAACACTTAAATTATTATAAGACGATGACTAAAATAAAAAAATATATGATTATGATTATTATATCAAAAATAGCTTTTTATAGGAGGTGAAAGGGGCTGAATGTATTATGAAATATTCCTTTAAGGGAATAACTAATAACATTCTCTTTTGGACTCACATCCATATAGACGGTGAAAAAAAATAATTTATAATTATTTTTATTAGACTTGTGCGCACGTGGATAGATCAAATGGACAGATTTTGTCTCTCTTATGTCAACTAGGTTGTCACGATTATTGACTGACAATGATTGATAAATAATATTTTCTCTATCATCGATATTTTAAGAAAAAAAATAATTTTTTTTATGAATATTACAAGTATTTACTTTCTTGTTATATTGTTCATAATTGCTAGAGGTTAATATACATTGAACACTTCCCTAATATCTCAAACACAAACTATGAATTTAAATGCGGCATTATTCATATCCTGATTTGTACATTTTGATTAAAGAATGCGACTTGCTCATTATCCATCTCATTTTGTGTTTTTGAATGAGTAGGCCATGTCAGTCGATCACGACAAGAAACAGAGTCCATTTCTTTCTCCTTCGATTGATGTGGATATTTTAGCGTTATGTATGGGTAGGAATACTATAACGTACGAGAAATAGAGAGATTCAATTAATGTCCCGAACTTTTATGGTACCAATTTAAAGTACAGACATCGAAATAATTGCAGCGACAGAGCTCGTGGGTGCATAACTCTCTCTTCCTTTGGATGGCATGTCATTTTGGTTTGGGGTCCTTCCATTTCAAATCAGCACCTTTAAGCCTGCAACCACCCAAAGAGTTAAGTCATGCTTCAGATGCAGTAAATAAGAGGTCGACCAACAAATACTGTCCCAAAAACAATATAAAAGACAGAAAATTGGTATAAATATAATTATCATTGAATAATTTTTTTTTAAAAAAACTTTTTTCGGTTTATTACCTTTTTTTTCATTTATGCTCATGCTCTTTATTTTTAAAAGATAAAATTGTCTATGGTATTCATCTTGTTAATCGTCGCCTTCGTCTTTGTTATTTTTCGCTTTTCCTATGATCTCAAAGACAGGTTGCTCTTCATCACGATGGCATGGCCTATGTGCTCAACTACATAAGATACATTTGGCTTGACCATTTTTGCGACAAGCTAGCCTACCTCACCATTATCCTCTATGACACCTTCGACTTCCTCAAGTGTGCTCGCATTATTCTTATGTGATTGTGCACTCATCCATTACCACCATGAGGTCTCATTACCCCTCCTATATTCCTCCACTCTGGCCTCCTCTCATATTTTTTTTATTATTGCCCTCGTCTCTCATTCTCTTTTTCTTTGTTGTGCCTGCTTGTCCTTCTCATCACTAGTTCAAACTATCTCAAAGGGATTAACAAAGATTGACTCGAGCAACAAAACATTTAGGAAGTATGATCTATTTAAAATAAGACATTGCACATAATATCGAAGGCAAAAAATAACACAATCATGAGCCATTACCGATAACTTCATGGTCCGAATAAAAAAAAAGGAGAGACGAGATAAATTACGAGTGAAAGTCAAAAGTAATTTTATCTTAAAAAAAAATTATATGAGAATATATGAAAAAGTTAAATCCTTATATATATATATATATATATATCTTGAATCCTCACAACAGGCTTTATGTGAGGTTGCTCAGTAGCCAAACTCGCTGTACTCCATAATATACCAAGAAAAGCTTTGGCTCCTTCCAGCAACAACAGGGAGCGTTCTCTAACTGACACCATCAACATGCGCCGGCCCCACTATCGAGTGAAACCTTTGTCCGGTACCATTTACTAACGGATAATTTTGCCCATCTTGGGATAATTAATCCCAATTCAAAGAGAGATTCTGCTGCAACACTTTCCTTCGCTGCTCGCATTTACTATTTTATTCAAAACGAAGCCTCGAACTCTGAGTGAGAGAGAGAGAGAGAGAGAGAGAGAGAGACAGAGAGAAAAGAGGGAGGGAAAGAGCGAAAGCACTCCAAAAACCCCTCTCGCTCTCTCTCCCCTCTGCTCTTCTCATCTCATCTGTCCTCGGCCTCCTGCCGCTGAGCAAAAACTTAGAAGATCACCCACCACCATCCACTCCCCACTTACCACTGCTACGCTCGTCTCCGCTACGGTGCCGAAAAGTCTATATTTTGGTTGTTCCAGGATGCCGTCCGCTTCCTCCGCCTTCTCCCTCTTCCTCCTCCTGCTACTGCTGTTTCCCCTTCTCATCTCGGCAACCCCGCCGCCGCCTCAGCCGTCCCCGCCGCCAGCGCCCCATCTGAACCGTACCTCCGAGATCTTGGCCGAGATCGACGCCCTCACCGCATTCCGCCGCGCCCTCCGCGATCCTCTCGGCGCCCTCGCGGGGTGGGTTGCTTCCTCCCCCTCCGCCCCATGTTCCTGGCGCGGCGTCGCCTGCGACCCGGACGTTTCCCGCGTCGTCGAGCTGACTCTCCCCCGCCTCCGGCTCTCCGGCCCCATCTCCCCACGCCTTGCCGACCTCCACCTCCTCCAGCGACTCAGCCTCCGCACCAACCAGCTGTCCGGCCCTGTTCCCCCCTCCTTCGCCTCCCTCGGCCGACTCCGCACCCTCTACCTCCAGTCAAACACCCTCTCCGGTCCCCTTCCCCCCGCCTTCCTTTCCAATCTCTCTAACCTCCAAGTCCTCAGCCTCGCGGGAAACCTCTTCACAGGCCCTGTCCCTACCGCACTACCTCCTGACATCCGATACATCGACCTCTCCTCCAACGCCTTCTCCGGGTCGATTCCTGCCAACCTCTCCGTCACCGCCCCCCGCCTCCAGCTCCTTGACCTCTCCTTCAACCGCCTTAACGGCACCATTCCCGGGAACCTTGGTGGCCTCCCCGCACTCGCGTTCCTCTGGCTCGATGGCAACCTCCTCGAGGGTACACTTCCCGCTGTCCTTGCAAACTGTTCCTCCCTCGTGCACCTTAGTCTCCAGGGGAACAGCCTCCGCGGCATCGTCCCTGCCGCCATCGCGGAGATGCCCAACCTCCAGGTGCTAGCCCTCGCCCGCAACCGCCTCTCTGGCGCGGTGCCCGCCTCCGTCTTCTACAACGCTTCGACCACCGGCGTCTCATCACTCCGGATCGTCCAGCTCGGGCAGAACGAATTCACCGAGCTTGCTCCGCCTCCGCAGGGGCGTCGCTACTCCGCCGCCCTCCAGGTCCTGGACCTCAAGCAAAACCGGCTTGCAGGAGCATTCCCCGCGTGGCTTGTCAATGCCTCGGGGCTCACGGTCTTGGATCTCTTCGGGAACGCCTTCACCGGCTCGTTGCCGCCAGGTATCGGACGGCTTGCATTACTGCAAGAGCTGCGGCTTGGGAGGAACTCGATGACCCTGCCGGTTCCAGTGGAGATCGGGCAGTGCAGCGCCCTTCAGGTTCTTGATCTCGAGGAGAACCGGTTCTCCGCTGAGATACCGGCCGCTCTTAGTCGCCTTAGCCAGCTGAGGGATCTCTACCTCGGCGGCAACCTCTTCTCCGGTTCGATTCCCGGGAGTCTCGTTAAGCTCTCCAAGCTCGAAACGCTGTCGCTCTATGGCAACAAGATTTCCGGCGTCATCCCAGAGGAGCTGATGCTGCTGAGCAACCTCACCACGTTGGTCCTCGCTGGCAATGGTATCTCCGGCGAGATTCCTTCAACGATCGGAAACCTCACGGGGCTTCAGACACTAAACCTGAGCATGAACAGCCTGTCCGGCGTCATTCCGGCGTCGATCGGGAGGCTGCTGAACCTGAAGTCGCTGGACCTCAGCGGCCAAAAGAACCTTTCCGGAGACCTCCCGGCGGAGCTGTTCGGATTACCAAGCCTTCAGGTGATATCTCTCGCCGACAACTCGTTCTCCGGCCAAGTTTTGGAGGGTTTCAGCAGCCTATGGAGCTTGCAGATTCTGAACCTAACTGCCAACTCCTTCTCCGGCTCAATCCCTGCGACATATGGCTACCTCCAGTCACTAAAAGTTCTTTCGCTTGCCTACAACAACATCACCGGCGAGGTCCCTGCGGAGCTCGCTAACTGCTCCAACCTCACCATTCTACAGCTCCGGTCCAACCACTTGTCAGGCCCCATCCCGGAGGATATCTCCCGTCTCTCCGACCTAACGGAGCTCGACCTCGGCCGGAACAATCTGTCGGGCATAATTCCGCCGGATATCTCCAATTGTTCCACTTTGGTCACGCTTATGTTGGACGGCAACCATCTCTCAGGCGACATTCCCGACTCACTCTCCAGTCTTTCTAAGCTTCAAGCGCTCGACCTCTCGGACAATGAGCTATCGGGCTCAATTCCGTCCTCCCTTGCTCTCATCTCCAGGTTGGCGCACCTCAATGTGTCCGATAATAGCCTGAGAGGAGAAATTCCAGGGGTGGTGAGTTCCCGCTTTGGCGATCCATCGGCGTTTGCTGGGAATCCAGATCTCTGCGGTCACCCCTTGGAGACGGCGTGCAAGAAGAGGAAGAGGACGTATCTTATCCTGGTGATCGGCCTCACTGCGGCCGCGGCTTGCATTCTGGTCGTCTGCTGCTGCTGTTTTGTTTTCAGCCTGTTGCGCTGGCGAAGGCGCTTCCTGGATAGTCGGGCCGGCGTGAAGAAACGGAGCCCCGGAAGGGGCAGCGGATCGAGCGCTGGGAGCGGCGGTAGCGGTGAGAACAATGGCGGGCCGAAGCTGGTGATGTTCAGCAACAGGAACACCTACGCTGACACGGTGGAGGCGACGCGGCAGTTCGACGAGGAGAACGTACTTAGCCGCGGTCGCCACGGACTGGTATTCAAGGCGTGCTACAACGATGGCACCGTGCTGTCGATCCTGCGGCTGCCGTCGACGTCGGCGGACGGAGCCATCGTGATCGAGGAGGCGGCGTTCCGCAAGGAGGCGGAATCGCTGGGGAAGGTAAAGCACCGGAACCTGACCGTGCTCCGCGGCTACTACGCTGGCCCCCCACCAGATGTTCGACTGCTGGTCTACGACTACATGCCCAACGGCAACCTCGCCACGCTCCTGCAGGAGGCGTCCCACCAGGACGGCCACGTGCTCAACTGGCCCATGCGCCACCTTATCGCCCTCGGCGTGGCCCGCGGGCTGACGTTCCTCCACGCCTCCGGGGTCGTCCACGGGGACGTCAAGCCGCAGAACATCCTCTTCGACGCGGACTTCGAACCCCACCTCTCCGACTTCGGGCTAGAGCCGATTGTGGTGACGGCGGGTGCAGCGGCCGCCGCAGCCGCGGCATCGACATCGGCAACGACGGTGGGATCCCTGGGATACGTGGCGCCCGACGCGGCGGCCGCCGGTCAGGCTACGCGGGAGGGGGACGTGTACAGCTTCGGGATCGTACTGCTGGAGCTGCTGACTGGGCGGCGGCCGGGGGCGTTCGCTGGGGACGATGAGGAAGACATCGTGAAGTGGGTGAAGCGGCAGCTGCAACGGGGGCAGGTGGCGGAGCTGCTGGAGCCGGGCCTGCTGGAGCTGGACCCGGAGTCCTCGGAGTGGGAGGAGTTCTTGCTGGGGATGAAGGTGGGGCTGCTTTGCACGGCCCCTGACCCGCTCGACAGGCCGTCCATGGCCGACGTCGTCTTCATGCTCGAAGGCTGCCGCGTCGGCCCCGACCTCCCTTCCTCCGCCGATCCCACTTCCCAGCCCTCTCCCGCCTGAATTCTGTCTGCTTCTTCTTTTTTTCTTTTCTTTTCCGGCTTAATTCCCTTTTTCTTTGTTTTTTTCCTTTCCCTTATTCTTTTTAATTCGAAGTCCCTTTGTAGTATTCTGCAACCATTTTCTCTCTCCTCCCGGGTTGGCTTGGCGCGGGCAACCGAAGAGGGGACCAGAACGTGGTCAAATCTGACTCCTCCACGGGGACCACAGGGCCTTGGTTTCCTTCCCGCCTCACCATTCTCAAGGATGGTGAACCGCCACGTTCGAGTACGTAGCCGTTGGAAGTGGCTAGTGAACTGGAGAACTGCTGGCACTGTTGTCTTGCGTTGATTCCCTTCTTAAACATCTCGCCAACTTGGCGGGGGAAGGACGCCAGTGTCAGTACGGATCTGATGCCCTTCTTCCCGATCCGACGGTCAATGCTAAGGAATCGTAATTGGTCAAGTGCAAATTATTTGGTCATTTACGTTTTGCATATCATCGGGATGAAGACAAGGAGGAAATGGCGGGGGAAAGGGGTCCCCTTCCCTGAATCGATTGGATCTCTGTAGGTTTGAAGGGACTTTCTACTTTATATTTAATTGCAACATATGGGAAACGGTTTCCTCGATCCCAATACAGGCCCTGGTTGGGGTCCCCCTTAAATTAATTACAATAATTGTCTGGGAATCCGGTTTGCTACTGGCTTGGACCGGTCGTCGCGACAAAAGCCATGCAGGTGACCGTTTGATTTAGAATACAACACTTTTTTGACCGCTTTTTTTCGTTTTTTTTACTCTGATGATCCGCACTGAAGAGGCCACCGTCGTGCCATTTGGCTTGTAGCGATCGTCGGACGTCCGATCCTGACGACGACGGGTGCAGACGGATACGCTCCTGTTTCTGGATCCTAACTTGATCCGCCATGGAAACATCCATTTCAAACGAACACAATGACGTTCGCTTTGAATCAGGATAATATGCACCAGTAATGAAAAGAGGTCGTTGGAGGCGAGAGAGCATCAGGTGCAGTGGTCTCTGGTGCATGGAGTAAACGACACGAGGAACAGAGCGCTGCTCTGCTCGGCGCACCTGCAGAAACAGCACCATCGGACACACCCCACGTGACGGAAGCGGACAAAACAACACACGGGGGACGGTCAGAAGCTGTCATCTCACCGCCCATTCCTCCTCCGTCGCCCCGGCAGCCACATGCACGATGGTAACAGCCTACGCATCCACGACGCCCGAGGCAAGTCGTCGAGCGGTGACGCTCGAGTTTCCGGGCCCAGGCGAACTGTCTCGGCTGCGCCGTACAACACGAAATAAATACGAGACAGACGCCATAACAGCGGTAACAAAAGAACTCCGGTACTCGGATCTCACGCATGCCGTCAATCTCCATCCACTGGCTAATGAAACGAAAGAGATTTCACAAGCATTTACAGATGTACTTCTTGGCCACAAGTGTCACGAGAGAATAGTCACCGACTTAGTGGATAGTACGAATGACTGGGTCTGACTATGCCTGGAATAACCCGATAAGGACTTGGATGCCGTCTTGTCCATTGGGTCAAGACAGATGCGACCTGCCCACGGGCCAGGAATCGAAAACCTCCAATGGATAAGATCCAGTCAGGCAATTCTGTCTCCAGGATTTCAAAGCCACTCACTTGTTATTTTGGATCATCTTTCGCATTCTTGTTGATGTGCTCAAGCCATCCTTTTTAACTTGTTTGAGGTTACATTGCTACTAATTAAAGGTTGTAGTTGATGATAACCATCATTAGCAGAGTTGTCTCCGCTCTCCTTTTGACGATGATGGTCACATGGATACAGATCATATCCAACCTCTCGTCATCAATACGTGCTTCATTTTTCGTACCGAGAAAGTAACTAAGCCATATTGCCCCCTAATCATCATCAACCCCACCTTCATAAATACTCCTTTACGTTCTGGACTCAGCTCTGTCGCTCCATGCCACCTGAAAGCATTATACACTCACGTTGTGTGTTGCTGGTGGTCAGAGTCTTTTCTCTTCGACAAAACAGCAGAGTGAAACTCCACAGTAGCAGAGCCGATCATTGAGCTGTGCTCTCTGCTTCGAGACTAATGAGCCTCTACGTGACATTCTTCTTGAAATGGATCAGTCTTATGACGAAGTTTTCTATTTGAAGAATGTTAAGTGGAACAAGTCCCTCGCCATGTTCAGATGAACTGTCTTGATGAAGCTTCGCATATCTAATCCCAAGCAGCACATGATCTTAGTAAACTAAGTAGAAAGTCAGCCACCAAAACTTTGGACGAGACTGATGCATGGCGAATTGGTGGCGAGTGGTGGTACCACCAATTAACGTGCGATGTCATGTCATTACATTGCTATCTTTTAATGGTTCCTTTAATTCATTTCTACCCGCTTGGGGGTTGGCAACGGCCACACTCGACGTAGTCCAATAATGTCCTTATATGACATCATAACTGTTAAAATAAAGAGATAAATGAGTTATTGAAGAAGAAGTTGAATGTTATTGACATATCCTTCGTCTTTATATACAGGTTAGAATG